TGCCTGGTTTGCCAGAAACATCTAATTAACGCTTATCGTGAAAAGCCCTGTAAAGTTTTGATGTCGTCTGATTCCAATTTTGTACCCCAAAATCAGCAAAAATAATATTTTGAGCACATAATATGAATAGTTGAAATCGTTTGTGCACGAATAAAAAGCACATCATTGAATAGAAATTTTGATGTTCTTTTCAGATATGGCAGAAAAAATGAGAAATTCGAATTTGGGAATTTTAAGTGAAACCGGACCTGGATTTCATCTTTTGTTGTTGCCTCGATCAATTCCACAGGGTAGATTGAGCAAGTGTACCAATTCTTAAAAATATATACAGGTTGGTTGGAAAGTTATGAGACAATGAAGATATGGACAAAATTGATGAAACATCCTGTATCTCGGTTATAACAAGTCGAAGACCCATTAACCATGGGTTTTTTAAATCACCCTAGTGACCCCTATCCACAGTTGAATTATTCACCTTTCCCAATGAAACACCCTGTATAGACTATTTTTCTTAAAATTGTTTCAGGAATTTTTTTTATCGCTTGGAGCGCACGAAAGGTAATTCCTATAATGTTCAAGGAACATCGTGCGTTCCTAGAGTGGATAGGGACAGGAGGTAGGTATTGGAATTTTTTTTGAACTTTTGGAGATTATATGTTGTTGGGAATACTTCCACAGGCAACGTGACTTGAATATTTCAACGTACTTGTTACACCCTGTGTAACAAAATCTCATGATGAAATACGAAAAGCTGAAAATTTATGCGTGCAGGTGATCATTGAATATATTGAAATTGAAAATTGGAATCATTTGGAAACATTTATATCTCTGTCTAATTTTCACCAATATAAAAGGTCATTGTGGTAGTCCTTCATGTAATAGTAGGCTTCGTTCAGGAGGATTTCCTTCATCTTGAATTTATAGGTTTGTATATTCCTAATTTTTTTCATGTTGTCACAGGTTTGCTACCAAACTTTAGGGCTGAAATGAGATGAAATTCAATTATTGTTCCTAGTGTTCGTGTATGTTTCATCTCTGTGCAAAGGAGAAAACTCTATTTTTGGTAGGAATTAGAAGCATCATTGTATTAAAAAATATATCTCGAACATAAAAAATGAAGTTGACATCCGTTGACGGACGAGTATCGAAATTATGATCCGATTCTATTAGAAGTTGGTATCTCGGGGTTGTCCATGTCAGAGATTCTTATCTTGCGTCAAAATTGCTGAATTCAAAATGTTGGATTCAATATGGCGGATGAGTTTTGTGAATATGATCCGAATATATTCAAAATTCTCATCTGAGGTTCTCGGGGTCGGAGATTATGATTCTTCCGTCATCATTTGAAAATTCCATATGACGGATCCAGTATGGCAGACGAGTTTTGTAATTATATGATCCAATTCCATTAAAACTTCTCATCTCGATACTTTCGGGGTTAGAGATTACGATACTTTCAACAAAATTGAGAATTCAAGAAGGCAGATCTAAAATGTTGAACGAGCTTCGTATTAAACAGTGATTTGAAAAACTGATGTGACACGTTTCTTTAGATAGTTAAACTAAAAAGAAGTAGATAATGAATAGTATCTCAGAAAACTGAAGAGATATATAACCAAACTGAAAAGAAGCAGAAAATAAAATAATAAAAGTGTGTTGTTGAATATCCAGCAAGAGAAAATGTTTTCTGGAAATAATGTTTATAGCAAAACAACGTTTGCCGGGTCAGCTTGTGGACATTAATGACCATAGAATAACTTCCTCCAGCTGAATATTATTTATGTTCTCAGGTCCCATCAGTTTGTGATAATACAAGGTATACTCTCGCTGGAATTATGAAGAACATAATAGTCGGCTATTTGTCGTGGTCTTGGGATATTACTGTTGATTATTATCGGCAGCAAAATAAAAACACGAAGTCGGTCGACGATTATGATAGTTTATGGTTTAGTGAACCCTTAGCAAGGTGATGTAGGGCTGAGGGATATCGGGTGAGAGAGGGAAAACACATTGCTTTGCGGTTAATGTCGTAATTATAAAAGGGCTGTTGAACGCTCACGCAATGTCTGAATGTACCTGATTCCAAGATTAGATTAGATTGTGAAGGTGAAGTGCTTTAAGCGTCTACACTATGAACTTAATAGATCTATTGTGTCTGCTCTCCAGATAGTTCAGAGCCCTTGCTTCTATATCATGAGACTCCATAGGTTGAATTTTAGATTATCTAAATTCTTTCCCAATGAGAGTTCAAACCCTTAGTCTTGACAAGTTCTCGCAGTGGCGAAGTTGATGTATAGGTAGTTACAAAGAATGAAATATATTCATTGACTATTTTGTTACAAAAGAATGTTCATCTGGTGAGTTTGGAGATTGAGTTACAAATAATAGTTTATAGTACAGGTTGTCGGAGAAATATAATTTGCTGACCAAAATTATTGAGGTATGCTGACCAAGCATTTCTGGATCGATTTTTTTTTTCATATTGCATATTTGAATATTCTATATGAATATAGATGCCACCAGTGAAATAATTATTTTGATCCAATCCTTCAGAGGGTAGTTTTATTCTTGCAGTTTTTGAAAAATCCTTGATGACCGAGCATTTCTGGTTCGTATTTTTCCATCAAATCACATATCTGAATATATCATATAGATATACAGGGTGTTTCATTGGGAAAGGTAAATAATTAAACTGTGGATAGGGGTCACTGGGGTGATTTGAAAAAAACCCATGGTTAATGAGTCTTCGACTTCTTATAACCAAGATACAGGATGTTTCATTAATTTTGTCCATATCTTCATTGTCTCATAACTTTCCAACCAACCTGTATATATTTTTAAAAATTGGTACACTTGCTCAATCTACCTTGTGGAATTGATTAAGGCAACAACAAAAGATAAAATCCAGGTCCGGCTTCACTTAAAATTCACAAATTCTTTCTGCCAGAAAACAATACCCTATACATTCGAATTTCTCATTTTTTTTGCCATATCTGAAAAGAACATCAAAATTTCTATTCAACGATGTGCTTTTTATTCGTGCACAGACGATTTTAACTATTCATATTATGTGCTCAAAATATTATTTTTGCTCATTTTGGGGTACAAAATTGGAATCAGACGAGATTTATAAATTTTATTACCTCCTATTCAGTATACGTGAGTATTACATCTAGAAGGAGTATTTCATATCGTTCTTCGTTCCAGATTTAGTTGCAGGTCCGTCATCAAAACTATACAGGGCTTTCCACGATCAGCATTAATCAGATGTTTCTGGCAAACCAGGCAACGGATAAATCTAAAATTTCGAAGGTATGTATAAATTAACATGATCTACACGTCTGAAATATTTGAAACAATCCGGCGTTGCCGCTTCTACTCGAAAGTAGCAGTAACTTTGATTTTTCAAATGGGACACCCTGGATGCTTCCTGAAGAGCTGATTTAATCGATTCAAAAAGTTCGGGGTCTAGTGGGTCTAATAACTGAGATATTTAGAGTGAGAAAAATCGAGATGTTTCAACTTTAGAATTATTTTCCGAAAATATTTATTATTGATCAAAACGGCTTTTATGTCCCTATCTTAACTTTGTATCTATTGACATTTAATCGAAACGAATACAGGATGGTTCATAATTCAGATTTCTGCACCACCCTGTATCTGTTTCAATTGAATATCGAATGAAAAGTTGTGATAGGGACATTGAGGCCGTTTTGACCATGCAATAATAAATAATTTCAACACCAAACATTTCTAAAGTTGAAACATCTCGATTTTCCACATCCTATATCTCAGTTATCAGACCCGCTAGACCATGGATGTTCTGAATCGATGAATTCTGCTGTTCAGCAAGAATCCAAGAATGTAATGAAATACAGGGTGTCCCATTTGAAAAATCGAAGTTGCTGCTAGTTTCTAGTAGAAGCGGCAAGGCCGGATCGTTTCAAATATTTCAGTAGTGTAGATTATGTTGATTTATACATACCATCGAAATTTCAGATTGATCCGTTGCCTGGTTTGCCGAAAACGTCAAATTAACGCTCATCGTGAAAAGCCCTGTATAGTTTTGATGACGGACCTGCAACTAAGTCTGGAACAAAGAACGATATGAAATACTCCTTCTAAATGTAATACTCACGTATACTGAATAGGAAGTCATAAAATTAATAAATCTCGTCTGATTCCAATTTTGTACCCCAAAATGAGCAAAAATAATATTTTGAGCACATATTATGAATAGTTAAATTCGTCTGTGCACGAATAAAAAGCACATCGTTGAATAGAAATTTTGATGTTCTTTTCAGATATGGCAAAAAAAATTAGAAATTCGAATGTATAGGGTGTTGTTTTCTGGCAGGAAGAATTTGTGAATTTTAAGTGAAGCCGAACCTGGATTTTATCTTTAGTTGTTGCTTCAATCAATTCCACAGGGTAGATTGAGCAAGTGTACCAATTTTTAAAAATATATATTCAGGTTGGTTGGAAAGTTATGAGACAATGAAGATATGGACAAAATTGATGAAACATCCTGTATCTCGTTTATAAGAAGTCGAAGACCCATTAACCATGGGTTTTTTCAAATCACCCCAGTGACCCCTATCCACAGTTTAATTATTTACCTCTCCCAATGAAACACCCTGTATATAGATGCCATCACCATATTATTTCGATAAATGAGTACGGGCAATATAATAATGATAATATAATAATTTTTATCCAGAATCGTGACTAAAACAGAATTTTCTGAAGACAGGGATAACTGCAGCCAAAGAAGAGATGCATCAAAACAAACATACAATGAGAAAATGAGATCGAAAAACGTTCCCAATCACATGATTCTAGGAGGAAATGAAAACAAAATTATAACTTTTGAACCATATCGACAATTGGATAACCACATATAGACATTCCTTTTGATCCATGACTCATGGCACACCCTGTATATTAGCCTGACTATTCTTCTCAAACAATGTATCTGAAATGAATCTTTTCTGTTATAGGTGCAACTGCAAAGTAACATAAAACAAGATGAAGGAAACATTAGTCCTGACCGGATCACTACTTATCTTCTCATTAGTTTCACAAACTACAGAAGCTGCTTATACTATTGGAGTAGGTAGGGCTGATTGTACTGGACCTTCTGCGGAGATAACTTTTGTAAGTATAGCTATATAGGTTAGTAGTGAAGCTCTATACAGGGTAGCCATCTGAAAACGATACAGAGGCTCTGTAGGTCGCCAGAACCGGATTATGAAAAAATGCCTGAACAAGTCATCCACATTTTCAGCGCTGCGACGTTGCTGCTTTTATCGAAAAGCAATAAATCTGTTATCGCTGATGAAAAACCTATTTTTCATTATATTTTTAAAGTACTCCCGGACAGTTGATTTCATCAATATATCACACTTGCACGGAAAAAAGGATTTGTTGCATCAACAAATTATTTTTGCTTGATTTTTTTTTGTTGGACTGAGCAATTTTTTGTTGAATCAACCAGATACATGATCATTCCATGGAAGCAGCTTGTTCAAATCAAGAATGTAGTCTAATTGAATCAACAGTATAATATCAATTCCATCAACAAACAACAAAATATATGGTTTCTTCAAAAACAAATTATGTCGATCCAAAATAATGTCGATGTTGATTCAACTATAAACATTTCGTTGATTTGATCAAACAATGATCATTTTGATGAGAATATATCTTTGAAACAACATACAAGTTGTCTTATTCCAATGTATCAATGAACTCGTTTCGAACGGATCATTTGCTTGGATAGAGCAACTAAATATGTTATATCAATGGAATATTTCGTTCATTCTACATCAACTTAAATTTTCGCCTCTAGATGGCGATCATTTCGCCTCGTCTATGCCTACCTCGAGTTCATTATATACGTGAAGCCTGATTCTTCGTGTTTGATATATCAGCTGGATAAGTCGAACTTAGGATGATTAGCAATCCGAAATAGTTTTCCATCAGCTAAAGAGAAGTAAAGACTGAAGATCTATGCTAGGAGTCGACTAGTTTCCTAGTTTTGTTTATTCAATTGATGTTAAATTTCAGAAAATTCCCGAATATTGAATTTGGTTCAACAAAACAATTTGTCGAATGGATATATAGTTTTTTTTGAAACAACAAAATATTTCATTGAATTAACCAAATATTTCATTGAATCAACAAAATATTTCATTGAATCAATAAAATATTTCTTTGAATCAACCAAACATTTCGTTATATCAACTAAATATTTGATTGAATCAATATCTTGTTATTTTGAATCAAACAAAATGTTTGTTTGAGTCAATTCAATATCTCTTCATAATCAATTCATGGATGTGCTTGATTGAAGAAGATCCAGAGTTCATGCAAGACATAATTACTTGATACAAACTTCAAATTCGCTCTGAAACAAGATAAAGATTTACTCATTTCAAGATTATATTTTGTCGTGCATATATGACACTTTTATTTGCTCCATTCAATTAAATTTCGCTTGATTCAACAATTTCTTTTTTTCCGTGTGGAGTCTAACGGTAATGGTTACAGATATATAGGTTATTCAAAATCGAGAGTTTTTAACTTCAGGGTTTTTTATGTCGAAACTATCCATTATTGGTTGACCCTTGATTTTCTATCTGATGATATTTAATTGGATCAGATACCGGGTCATCAGTGAATTCTGAATCTTGAACCACCCTGTATTTATTCCGATCAAATGTCAGTTGATAGTAAGCCGTTATAACCAATAATGAATAGTTTTGGCACTACCTATATCTCTGATGCAATCATCCCGCTAGACCCCAAGTGCGTGATATACAGAATGTAACTAAATAATACCAAAAAAATTCAAGGGTTGATTCGTGTTGAAAAGGAATATTCTCAGATAAATTATGAACATACAAAAAAGGATATATATTGATATAAAGCAATACATTGAGAATTCGCATTCTCTATGTGATGAGAATATTTACTCTTTTTCAGTTAATTCAATAGAAAACAACTACTTTCCAGGAAAGTAGTTGTTTTCTGTTGAATATTCAGAATGATGTGTGTATATACATATTTTTGTCTGAAGGAGAATGCAAATTCTCAATTTCAGAAGTTTTTATATTTTATTTTCAAACTCTTTTCGTGTGTGTTCAATAGATATAATTCAATGTTCGTCGTGGCATATAGCCAGGAAAGTAGTTGTTTTCTATTGAATTAACTGAAAAAGAGTAAATATTCTCATCACATAGAGAATGCGAATTCTCAATGTATTGCTTTATATCAATATATATCCTTTTTTGTATGTTCATAATTTATCTGAGAATATTCCTTTTCAACACTTTCATACCCAATCAGGGGGTTCAAACTTGAACGATGGAAACTTGTGATTTTTATAGACCTCTAATCGCAGATTCGTGATAGAGTCTCAATTCAGAATTCATTTCCACGCCCTGTATGATGAATGTCAATTTATCATACACCCAAAAGCAAGGGTTGATTCCTTGTGATATTCTTGCAAATGGAGTTTATATAAACATGTGTCCTAACTCCCACCGTTTTTGAGATACAGGATGTTGAAGTTGAAAGTATAAATCGTTTTTATTCCTAATCCCCCTGTTTAAGCACTTATGGAGCCGGAATTCAGTATGATTGGAGACTGAGAAAACCCCAAAATTCCAGGATGATTCTAATTGGGGCTATTGAGTAATTTCATTGGGAGTCTTGAAAATACGCCTGCATCAAAATTTTGTGTCAAATCAAATTTTTATTGTTTTCTCAAAAATGAGGCTAGATACAGAAATCACACACAGGATCGAAAAGTTATTATTTCAATAGTTCAATATAATGAAAATATGAAACCGATGGCGTCAAATGACATTCACCATAAATATCGATATATTTACACACTGTGACGTCACTGGAGATATTATCTCGAATCTAATAGCACCAGAATAAACCTCATATTACTAATAACAAAATCACAACGTTTTATTGAAATTGATGAAAATACATTTGGGTCATGGAAATATTAATACCCTGTATCTCGAAAACGGAGCAAGTTTGGACACAAGTTTATATGAACTTCATTTCCTTGAATATCACAAGGAATCATCCCTCGAATTTTTTCGGTGTTATATAAATAGTTCTGGAAGAATCTGAAAATGCAATAGAATACAGGGTATTCCATTAAAAAAAAACGAACCCAACAACTATATTTTCGAGGGGGACTATCGGAAAGTAGCAACATAGCTTCAACATAGCCTCTGCTTCGTTTTCAAATGGTCATTTTACATGTATCCTAACAACCATTAATACATGGGCCATCTCTGTTCCAGCCATATATCATCTCAATGAACTGTCATTGGCATAATAAAATGGCATGTTATAATGCTTCCATTTATTGCTTATCTGTCGTTGGTCCAGTCATGGCTGACAGAAGTATTTTCAGTGTATAACCGATAGGAATCAGGTGATTAATAGTCACACAAACAATTCGAGATTATGAAGAGAAAATATCATTTCACTAATTAGAATAAGTAGATAACTTTGAAGAAAGAGCTGAATCTCTCATGATTTAGTCAATCTGCTGAGAGTTTGTGAATTCTATATTTTCTGATATTTGGATATTCGAGCAGAACTCGATTATCTTGCCGATTATCTTGACGATTCGGACTTGTATAAAAAATTTAGTTTTTCATTCGTCATCCTAATCAGAGGGCCAGGTTTTTCTGGTTCTTCTGACGTTTCAATAATATTACCACCCGACTTGCCTTGATGGTCAACCCAATGATGTTTCACCTTCTGTTTATTCCTTGTGACTTTATAAGGTACTGCAGTCTGATGATGGCTGTTGTGCCGCATAAAGTGTGGTCGACCGACTTTAACACGTTGACTGCCGGGCTCATATACACACTGTTGGTATCAGAGCCGAAGCAAAATCAAAAATTTTGTCCCAGAAACCATGAGTGACTCTATGTAGCTGAAGCCTACAGAAGATAGTATATCGTTGAAATTCTTGAAAATTGGGACACTGGATCCAAAAAATTGAAGAAATTTGGCTTGGTCTTATAGACCGAGTCGGCGCTCGTTTATACATGTATACCCGTGTACGCCGCGTCGGTCCGCTAGCTCGGTCCGTCTGGGTTCGGCCTCGGTCTAGTGCTGTGTCTGACGAGGACGATATACAATATAAACTTGTCACTGAAGCCGTCTTGGTCGCTCTCCGCGATATTATTAACAATAATTCAGACCGACGGCTTCACGGGCGGTTCAATTGACTCGGTCCTATAGGCCGAGCCGGCCTGGTGTATCAACTCCAATCTTGGTCTATGAGACCGAGGCGGCACGTCAGGATATTTTTTTCTCGGTCTAATAGACCGACATGGCAGTCAACGTGTTAAATATCTTCATTTTCATCAAAAAGTAAAGGAATTTCCTTTCGTGCGCTCCAAGAGATGAAAAAAATGGATGTTGTCAGGCAGATTCGAATCGCGGTATAGCAAAGTCAGTTCGTTGTGATAATGAATCTTGTATTTTTTTTTTCAGATGGGCTACGCGAAAGCTACCCAAAAAGGTTGTGGAATTCATCTGAGGCAGTATTCAAGGGCTTACATTTTTGATGATGGGTCAAAAAGGGTATTATTTGTTACCGTTGATGCATGTATGATGAATCATGGAATCAGAAAAGAGGTGAGCTCGATACTTATATTATTATATAGTTGAATAGCATGGATATTCGATCTATACAACTTCAACAACTACAAATTCATCACATTGTGTTGATCATCAACCACTATAGAACGTTGAAGCCGAATGTTGATACTTTCAATCAATAACACGTCTTTTTATTATAGCGAGAATAAAAACATCTCAGAGAGTAGGAGATACTCAGACATTCAACCTCCTCTGCGATGTTCTGTTTACTTTTATACAGCCTTTTCATAGATACAACACAACCATTTCAGATCATTCTGCGCACATCTAATCGCTGAATATAAACCATTCCTGGTAGGTACATTATAACAAGAAGAGGAAAAATGTGAGGGGAGCTTTTTCCGCTGGGTAATTGAACGTATTCTCTTGTGATTTATTTTTTGCATTCCTTACACCTTGTCTTTGCTATGAGAACAAAATCGATGACTGATATGAATAAAAATATGTCAACATGCACTTTATTATAGTAGGATATGATATGCGCATTGAGGTTGGAGAATAATAAAGTGAGTCAGGAAAAGGTAATTTCCCTAACAAGTGCGTAGAGTGATACTTTCCCGCATGCGACTGCCGTTGACACAAACGACGGAACAAACGATAGGAACTAAGACGAGTAATATAATACAGTTTGACGCCTTGTATAGGTTCATTGCGGATGTTTGGCCTCTAGGTTTCAGATAATCCTAAATCAGTCGAAAATACTTCTCTATTTGGTGTTTCAACTTTTTTATGCAACATTTAATAAAACGCGTTTATCGCTTCTCCTATACCTTTCTTAAGACTTCGTTGGCATCAATGCATCTGTATCGCAAGTAGCTGAACGTTTTTGCTCTTTGATCACATTTTACTGAATCTAAAATGACAGTAACGCTAAGTCTGTCACTCCGACAATCACAAACTAATATGTGTTCCGATTGGCATGACTTTGTTCCCCACATTAAATCAATGAATAGTCTATAGGAGGATTTTTATAATATTCAATTTCATTTTTCAATATTTCTCCATTTCAACAATAAATAGTGCATTGGGCTTATATCACAAAAACATTTTTTTTCATAATTCGATAGAACTCAACCAAACTAGCTCACCACCGCAAACCGTTTCTTGCTGTGGACTCCCTACGTTTTATAAAAAATTATTGAAATCCCCGATTTTTCGGACCTCTGAAAACGAGGCGATGAAAACCCTAATACTGAAACAAGACTATTCCAGACAGAGATGAATGATACATGATTTCTGACAGAGTGAATTAGCGCGAGATCACAGTTGAAAGAATTATTATATCAGTTGCCTCAGTCTCCGTCGGGCGTTTTGTATTTTCTTTCAACTATGGCGAGATGAGAAATATCTACGTCATAAGAGGGTCCATTTCCAGAAAGATCTATTATTCATGAGTGAGGGTTGCTGGGCTGTGTGCACGTGAATATATACCAAAGAAGGGATGATTTGTATTTCGTGCAAAATAATTTATTCAATATTCGAAGCAGAGCGCTTTCGACTGTTTAGTCATCATCAGTGCGTACCTGAATAGATTGCAATGGTCTTGCCTTTGAACTCTTGCGTTATCAATTATTTCACGCAATGATGTATTGCAATAACTTCTGGCTGGATTTTTATGTGGGTGAATACACCGTTTGACGTGAATACTTCAACCCTCTACTCCTCAGAGCAACTCCCTGAATAATTTGAATAGGAGACGAGTGTCATGTTCTACATCATTGCATAGGTGATTCAGTTTTGACACTAGCAGTGAAAAGTTCCTGCTCGGGCGCCAATGTGACGATCCTTATTCTTTTAAATGAATTCAATTAGTTCCAAATACCTGGTGCCTTGCCAATTCTTTCGTTTTGTGTTATCTTCTTGTTAATGTGCACTATCCCTTCACTCCTTTTCTGCTACTCTTCCTTCAAGCATCCTTTTTACTATACACTATCAATAAATTCACTACTTCCGTTAATATCTTTTCTGAAAGATTCTTCGTTTTACCTTTTACTTTTGTCCAAATTATTTTTTTTACACTTGTTTTCATCCTCTCCTTGGTTACCCTTATACTTATTTTTGCCAGATCACAGTGTTTGATTTCTGATTATATACTCAGTATATTTCATTTTCGATAACACCGTTGCAAGGTGAGAAATTGGCAATCCCAGAAGTACTTCTGAGAAATAATGGATAGGTCGCAGAGGACCAACAGAATGGCCCGCACGCTCGTCAGACATGGCACTCAATGATTTCTCATGTTATTTGAAATCCGTTATTTATAAAACGAAATGAACAGATCTGGACGTTTTGAGAAGAAGATAATAATTGAATGTCAGACAATACATTGATGAAGAAACATTTCCAAATGTACAAGAAGAATCTGTAAATAGACTCTATCACTGTCTGGAAGTCGATGGAGATCATTTCCAACATTAGTTGTGAATAATCATTCAATAATTCAATCTGTACATTCATCCAATCACAATCAGAAGACATACCATTTGGACTCGAATATCTTTTTTTCAAATTGAAAAAACTTCGCACTGCTAGTTTCAAAATCGAATTACAATTCATATTATGGAGGATGTTGCTCTAGGAAACAGTGGGTTAAAGTAAGTATTATATTTTTTGCTGCCCCAACGGTGTCTTCCTCTGGATAACAACTTATGTGTTTCGTTGCTTTTTTGGAAAATCATCTTTCTGAGAGTTATCAATGGTGGATAGTCTCAAGTGAACCAACCCGGTATGTTTTATTCAGATGTACCACATACGTGAAAATATTTCGCCAAAAATATTTGGCTATTGCTTAGTTATTTCGGAGATGCTATTGTTTTTCCAATTTCTGATTATGAAAGAATACTGAAGATTCATGAAGATGTTCTCAGTCCAATTGGAATGCACTTCCTAAAGAAAATAATGGACCTGAAAAATTACCATACGAACCGAGAATAGTTTTTTCCCGGTCGCCTCGAACGGGTCACAATTTATGCAGTGTAAATAGGAATACAGATTCGTTTCGTACAAAGAAAATGTTCTTTTCAATTTGGTAATTGAACCTGTTGTGTAATGAATAATAAAGTTATCTTGACTAATGCGGACTGGGCAGATGAGATGTATTGAGACACTTAGTTGAGCAAGTCGGGTCGATATTTTATAGAAAAGGTATATTGATGATGGTGAATGTATAACAGATTGACAGATGATATTCGCCACTCATTTTTTCAATTGAATCGACCTTTACTCCATGAAAATCCATACTAGTATTGGCGAAACTTCATAAACTATTCAAACTCGACAAAACTCCTGAATTATATGAACTAATGAAAAGCTGGAGTATGAGCAATCCCCAGAGAAGGTCATGGAAATCTACCAAGCAAATAGAGGCATATCGTCTTGATATCAATTATTTCCAAAGTGATGGAAGGAAGCCATTAACATTGGGCTCATGAAACATCTGGGAAGTTCAGGAGTCATGAATGATCGATTATATGGCTTACATCATTGGAAGTTATCTGAGAAATTTACTTGTGACATCTCTAACTGTGTTGTTAGATAGGCACCGAGAACTTATTCACAAACTATCATCAGACTTCTTAATGACTTCATGTTGTTTCGGATATATATGATGCTTGTACGCTTTCCAATGAAATCATCAGAATTCATCAGGAGTTCTAAAAATTCTCTCAAAAAAGATCCTGAAGCTTTCTGGAACTTCATCAATTCCAAAAAGAATGAATTTCGTTCATCCGGTCGTATGAAATGTGAGAATCAATTCTTTACTACAGCGAAATCAGTCGTGGATGTATTTGCCAAATATTTCTAAAGTGTTCATCTTATTCCGAGCAATGACGGTAATATCATTAATTCATGCAATTACCCAAGTCAGTACCTCAACATCAAATCAATTATCCGAGACCAGATCCTAATGGCGACATTGAAAAACAAATTAACATGCAGTCCTGACAAGCTCCAAGCTCGTGAAAGATCACATGCAACTACTTGTGTCCCCACTTCTATTTATTGTTAATTTGATCATAAAAAAACAGTTTCCTAATGAATGGAAAATTGCTAGAATCTGTCCCATATTTAAATCTGGAGCGACAGGCGAAATTACAAACTGCAGACCCATTGCAAAGTTAATCGAGATTGTACTCTCGGAGATTATTTACGAACACGTTCGTCGGTCGATTTCAGAGATACAGCATTTTTTTGTCAAATGTCGGAGTACTGCAACAAACCTGTGTACATTCACTCAATTTGTTTCCAGTGCACTCGATAGCAAGAAACAGGTTGACGTGATCTACACGGATTTCAGCAAAGCCTTTGATCGTGTTTCTCATCAACAGCTGATAAATAAATTACCTTCATTCGGAATATCACAACCGATCTTGATTCCATTATTGAACTCATATTTGATGGATAGTCGTTTATTCGTCGAAAACGAAGGCGTGAAATCGTATACCTTTTCTGCGACTTCCGGTGTTCCCCAAGGATCCAATTTAGGTCCACTATTGTAGTTCTGTGTGGAATCCGATTAACGACAAATTCAACGCTACTATTGGAAGAGTGCAAAAGGAATTTCTCAGTTATTGTTTCATAGAAAAGCATGGAGTATATCCTGTATGAGGTTATAGCTATGATCAACTTCTCAGTGAGTTTGAATTCGAGTCACTTATAGTCACTGGCTATATGCCACGACGAACATTGAATTGCATCTATTGAACACACACGATGAGAATTTGAAAACAAAATCTTCTGAAGTAGAGAATTTGCATTCTTCTTCATATAAAGATATGCACATAATATTATTCTGAATATTCAACAAAGAACAACTACTTTCCTGGCTATTTGCCACGTCGAACATTGAATTATATATGTTAAATACCAAAAAAAAAGAGCATGACAAATCAAAATCCTCTGAAATTGAGAATTGACATCATCTCTCAAATCGGATAGAATAGTATGATGTATTATGATATAAAAATATAACTTAC